CAGGATCCTGCTAATGTGTTCAGATAACATTTTGGCAAAAAGTTACATTTACTTCCTTGCTGTTCTGGTTGTTCCCTTTGCATGGTTTTAATTCTAATTTTAAAGAGATCTTCTGATTGAGACTTGTCAGAAACATCATGCCCTGCATTGTGAAAGGGACATTGTGGTCAGATATTTTTCTGCTCTTCATTGCTTATATGCCAAAAAACTTGTCAGAAACATCATGCCCTGCATTGTGAAATTGTGGACAGATTTTGTTCTGCTCTTCGTTGCTTATATGCCCAAATCCAATTTTATTGTTTTCTTAGCACAAAGGAGAGTAGTGGTTGCTCTTTGCCCAAAGCCAGCAGGAGGTAACACATGGAAGGAAGTGGAAGATGGTCAAGCTGTGTGGGAACTGGAGAACTTCTGTGTGTTGCTGTTTTTCTTCTTTCCTCTGGCCTGGATAATGTGCTTATTTGTATGTGGTTTTTTAATACTCCTCTTCCTTCCTTGCTGTTTTGGGTTTTTTCTAAGCTGGGAAAGTAGCTCTGAAAAAATTGCCAGAGCTTGTTTTGGAGGAAATATAATGACAAGAATGCAGATTCCTGATGGTGATGTGCATGCTGTCTTGTTTCAGGAGTATACAACAATCTAAAGTTGAAAAGCCTCAGGTGAATATTTCATGTCTGCTGTAACATTTAGAAGGAAAACTGAATTTTATAGGAAACTGATATTGTCACACCATTCATAAAATTTAGGGCAGACAGTTGCATTTTATTACTGCATCAATTAAATTAATAGACAAATTGGATAACTTGATCTCCAGTGCCTCAACCAAGAAAACACAGTTAGCAATGGCAGAAATGGAAAGGAAAACCATGACTCCTGAAAGGAAAGCTATTGTTCTATCTTCTGGAACTTGTCTCCATCCTTATCCCTATCCAAGCACTATAATTTTGTGATGTGATTGTAGTACAGCTGAGTACTTAAAATTATAGTTCACAGCTGTAGACAAAACCTTGAAATTGTTGAAATACCTGAATTAGAAAGGCATAAACATAGATGCACCTTTACTCACAACCTTTATTGAATGATTTCTGAGTCTGCAGGTGGAGTGGGCACAGGAATTAGACATTTGACCCCTGGGATTTTTCTTCCAAGGCAATGCTGTGATTTAGTTATTACCAGAATATCTCCTCTCTGCAAGTAAGTTTTTCCTGTCTGTTCTTTGCTTGTTTATTTTGCCTTCAGGGTGCTTTGGATGGCCATAACAGAGGAACAGAAACCTTTGTTGTATGCTTATCAGGATGTAAAAAGAGTTTTGCTCCTACTTTGCCCACTGATTGTTGTGACAAATCTAATGAAATAAGTGAGCTTCAAGTTCTGTAAATGAAATAATAAGTATTTATCTTGTCTCCCCACTCAGTCTTGCTAGGAAAATGAGAAATCTGGATACAGCAAATAACCTTTCCGTGGAGATGGGAAAAATAATTAATGTAATTGTAAAGGGGGCACAGCATGCCTTTTTTCTTGAGCCATTTCTGCTTTGACCTCTTGACTTCAAAGCCTGAAAAGTACATTAATGTAGCAATTCAGTGAACTGCTGTCTTGTGAAAGAATTTTCTAAAAGCTTCTGTTTTGGTAGGGGTGTAACTGAGGCATCATTCCTTCTTCCAGAGTAAATCAGAATTTAGAGAAATACATATTTTTATGTTCTCTTTCCCTCTGTCTGAGCTATGTATCCAGCTAAAAGGATTTATTAAAACCTTTTCACTTGTTTGTGTTCAGGAGAGGGGGGAAAAGTTATTTCTTTGATGTTCCCAAGGCTTTCCACGTAACTGGATTAAAATCTGAAACCATGTCAAGCAAAAGCTGTGACAGTAATGTACCCTAATTTGTTTCCCTGAAGATTGATGTGATGGTTATTCAAGCTTACCTCTCTCTTCAGTTGTTTGACCGTCTAATTTCTAAATAGTCATGCATTATTCATCTTTATGCTGATAGTAAGCTGATAATAAAACAGGAAATATCAAACTCCTCTGTTATATTTTCCCCAATATCCTTCTTTCTCTCCTTTATACATACTTCTTAAAATTTAGGTTGTCCAAGATGAAAATATACATATATGAAATCATGTGTGCATTCTTGTAGGGTTGCTGGATAACTGTTTAGCAGATTGTCTCCCCTATTTGTGACAGATATTAATGGATCAGTATTTTAAATTATTTGTACGGGCACACAACATTGTACTTGCTTATGTTTATTTGAGTTGGAATATGAATTATTATCTGCATACAGACAGCAGAGAGCATTAGTCTGGGCTTGGTCAGGTAGTGTGAAGGACAGGGATAGAAAATAATTTCATAATCAACAGCTTTAATGGATGATAATACTGTAGGAAAAAGCAGAGCTGGCTGGCTTTGGCAGCACATTCAATCTGAGGGTACTTTTGTTATTATTTGAGCTAACACTGACATGAAACTAATGAAGATACATTTATTTAGATGTGCTGTGTGCAGACATTACCAGACACACGGCCCCATCTGATGAGAAAATAGGTTTAGCTATTTTTTGAAATGTTTGCTGCTGGAGCAGGCTAAAGAGGACAATATTCTTGAATAATCAGATTTGTCCCTGCTTAAGAGGTTTTTTGCACTAGAAATGAGGAACTTGGTGCTTTATCTACTTTATGCCCCATCAGGATCATGAGAGATGCAGCTCTGCAGCCGACTGCTACAGTGCAAAGCATTCAGGGGTGTCAGGAAAATGAGACCCAGAGACAGGGTTTAAACTTCACTGGTAATAAGTGAAACAAATCGTGCACTACAAGACTGGGGTGTTTCAATGATGCTGTAGTGTTTCTGAGCTCTAGAAAAGCAAACCTATTTTCAATTTGCAGCTTTATATTGGCATTAAAGAGACACATGAGTTATGCCTTGGGTTACATCCACAATTCAATTTTTGAGCCCTTTGTAGGCTATGGTTGTGTAGTAATGTTTCTGATACTTTTGTAACCTAACCTTTCTTTGTTTATACTTTCCTGCCTAACTTTTCCCTTTCTATAAGAGGTTGTAACAAAGATTTTCTTCCAAAATCCTTTTCAAAATAGTAAAAATAAGCATTAGATCAGATGTGGCATTTTGCTTAGGTAGCTTGGCTGCTGGGAACAGAGAACCCGGTTTCATTTAATTTGTTAAATTGTCCTTCAGTTTTTCAATTCTAGGCATTAGCCATTAATATTCATACAAAGTCTTCCTTAAAAAGAAAAAATCAATAGGCACATCTAACCTTAATAAGAGGGGTTTGCTATTAATAGGATCACTAACATAATGAATTACCCTTCAAAATAGCTCTCTAGATGTTTGGCTCTGTTTTGAAATCTTTCAGCTTGAGTGTACTTTTGTATAGAAAAGTATTCCAGTACATTCAGTGAAGCTAATGTCTATTATTCATAGGGCATCCAGATCCTGCTCCTTAGGAGAGTGTATGGGGTTTTTTGATGCTTTTACACTGAATCTGGTGGATTTTATATTAGACCCTATTATTTGACTCCTGTCTGAAAGAGAATCAAAGCTGTATTTTTTTCCCCCTGGATATATCATATTGGGTATTTCTGTTTAAGATTGGCCTGGGGCCCACAGGTAGGATTGTCATTCATTTCAAATATTCTCCCATCAGTCCTGGAAGTGCTTCCATGATGAAAGAGGAGAAGGTAGCCCCATGGTTAGGCAAGCAGGAGACAGGTTATTACATCTTCAGATATACAGCAGACAAGTGGTTCTGCTTTGAGACAGGCTTGGCTTTCTGCCACTTCCTTCACTTGGTGTCAGCTGTTCTTTGTAACTTAACAAGGCAACCAAACAAGCTGCACTTTCTTGCAGTTGTACAGAAATAATATTCCATTATACTCAGAGTCTGAAGTGACTGTTTCTTATCTTTTGGGGTTTTTGGCAAGACTAATTTCTGTGCAGTCCTGTGGCGAGGATAAGCCATGACCTCCAGTTCTGATTCTCATAAAACTAAATTCAAATACATCTGTTTCCCTCAGTAGGTGTGGTCCTTGTATGATCACTCTGCATATTTTTCTTTGTTTTTACATGATGCACAAGCTATTTAGGAACAGGACAATTAATGGAGAAATAACTTTTATTTTTTCTAATTCTTGCTGATGTTCCCCTAAGCCTTGAGGGCTACTCCTTACCTTGAGTTCCTTGTTTGGTACTGTTGCTAAAGAACAGTTGGTAGCCTTTTCTTGTGTTCCTGAGGGGGAGTACTGAAAAAGAAGTGGGTTCATGCTTTTTATTCCTCTTGTTCATCATTAGTATTTTTCAGCTGTAGTAATGTTACAGGTGGTGCTAAAATATCATTAAATCCTCATGTTACACATCTGGCAACTTGTAATGGAAACTATTCTCTGAATGTATGTAATGCATCTTTTTATACTTTTATAAGTTGGCATTTACACCAGGTATTTCTTAATTTTAAACATGGTCATGCAATATTTAAATCTACTTCTTATAGCTCTTTGTGGACAAAATTCCACATTTGCTTTAGAGAGCATTTTATCTTACGATGTTGATAATTGAAGGAAAGTTGGAACTACAATTAAAAAACAACCAAGCACACCAAACTGTATGTTCTAACAATTCATAAGTCATGTTTGGATTCTGATAGTTCAAGTAAAGGATTTCTTTTCCTTATGCTAATGTTTGTCCTTGCTTCTACTCTGTGAGGAAAGTGCAGTACAGTGAAACTTTAATAGTCTGGATCTTAAAGGCAAAGAACTTAGTTTTCTTTTATTCCTACTTCTCTTGCACAGATTTGAGTGCTTATTTTCAAATGTATTAAAACAGACAGAATGCAGAAATGTCTGGGAGAATGTGATAACCTTAGGAGTCACACAGAGCTCTAAAAGTTACCTAATATATGAGATTATTTTAAGTGTCTGTTGCTTTTGGTTTGTTTGCTATACACTTGAATTATACATAGATATTTTATGCTGTTTTTTTGTATTCCAGAATTCCCTTTACTGTTCAAGACAACATTTAATGATGACAGAAGATTAAATGGCCTGTGCAGAATCCTTTGCCTCTGGTAAGTGAAAAGCAAACATCTTCATGCTACTAGATCTCTTTGTTTTTCATTACTACAGAAGAATTAAAATTATTTGACTTGGCCTCAGGCCTTCAATTGCTCTGTTGGGTTATTAAAAATACAGTGAAGAGCCAGTAATGAGTGGTATTCCTTATGTACCTTGGCTGTTTGTTCTTTACAAACAGAAGATTGATTACAATGGTTAAGAGACTTGGGATTTATTGACTTGTCTTCCTAGGAATTTTTATCTCATAATTGCTTTCAAGAGTATTTTCCTGCTTTTTTCACCTCCATTAACCAGTGAAACATCTTTTTCTATAATAATCAGTACTAGCTGTGAATGCTAGCCAGTAAACTCAGTCCTAACAGCTGGCTTTTCCCAAATTATTAGGGGTATTTGAAGGTGTTACTGAAGTGAGGGAACCTAAAATATTAGTTAGATAGAATGGTGGACTTTACTATCTTGAGGGTAATTCAGCTGCATTGGGGGGTGAGTTAAACATTGTATCAGAAATGTCCAGTGATTAATATTTATGTTTCTCCTTTTGTATTTTAAACAAAGAATTAATTGTCAACTCCTCTCCTGTCTCTGCAAATAGCTGAAGCCCTCGATCCCTGTGTTATTCACAGGTGAATGTAGCAGTTATTACAGACATGTGTTATGAGCAAACCTGGGGCAAACAAAATCTGCTCACAAAAACCACAGGCCCATTTAATGCTGATGTTACTTCCCCATGAAACACTAAACCTTGAGTATTAGAACACTGATGTACTTTGTTCCAGTTTAGCCATATTCATTTGAGGTTAAGCAGATAATCCTGTGAGCTTTGAGTTTTCTTTGTAGTTTCTCACTTCTCTGGTGGAAAATAAGCTGCAGTACAGTTTCAGAAATTAACATAATGCTTAAACTCTCAGATGCTGTGGGTTAGTGACAAATGCTTTGCAGTGAAATCCTTGCTCCTAAATAACATTTGGAAGGAAGACAGAAGGAACTTTAGGTAGGTGATTATGAACTTTGAGGCTAATTATAAGTTGTAATATGCATATATTTCCATGTATGAATTAATAAAATATTGAAATAAGTTTTAGCATGTAAAAGATGTCTAGGGAATCTGTGTTTGGGGTGAGAAGTATTTATTTGGAGAGAGTGATGTGATGTGCATCTTTTAAGAGCACTGACATAATTCCATTTTTCAGAAGGACTGATACGGATTCCAAACCAGGAAATTATTTTGAATTTTTGAGTGGGTAGGTCTTAGGTGCCTATTATTTGGTTTATCACAATAATTTTTCTTGAACAGAATTTGGCATGAAGGGTTTTTTGGGGTTTCTCCATATACAAGTTATTACCATAAATTATGACACGTTAGTGGAAAGAGGTACAAAGACATCAAGTTCTTTGTTTCTCCCTGAGCCTGGCTCTGTAAGAACAGACTTATATAAACTAAGCTGTTTTATCTGGTATATGGTAGATTATCTTCAATAGTGAGATAAGAAGGAACAAGTTGACCATTCAGAAATTACTGTTGTTGACCTACGAAACAGATGGAAAAGAGTTTTTGTTAAGCTGATTGTGTAAAATGGAGTGTAGCAAAGGAATTTGAATATGAAAATAAACCTGTCACAGAATATTACAGCATATTGACATGTGATTTAAGCATTTACAAGAGGGATTGATGCTGTACAGAGATGCTTATTAGATATCACAGGAATGATTTTTGCAGTTGCAAAAATAGCAGCTTTTATATTGTTAGATTGAGATGGGTGTTGTAAATACTAATTTTCAAAGTATGAATCAACTCATCCAGGTTTTTTATTTTAAAATCCTTTCTCCTATTATAATTAATATTCAGTTTTAGCAGTGTGATCTCAGGGTAAAATCAGCTTATCTTTCAGGCTGGCATGGATTAGGAATCTTGTTTTGATAAACAGTCTACAGACCTGAGCAATCATAGGGCTTACATGTCAACTTTGAAATAAGGACATGTAAAAGTAAATGGGCTTGACTGAATTTTGCTGTGAGCAGATATACAGAGCCTGACCATAGAGGAAGCTCAGACTGCAGCTGTGGCTTGGTACATCCACATGAATTCAGTTGTTCCACTTCAAGCAGTAATTTACTCATCTTCCTAGGTATATGTGCTAAATTTTTAATTTTTTTTTTTACTACTTGTGCTGTTGATACCCTTTCAGATAAAGAATTGTACTTAAATGGTTTGGAAAATTAAATGTTGTGATCAATGATATAAGAACTTATTTAGGACCAAATTTGTTTTACAAATAAGACAAACCTTTTCCCCTCATTCACAGGTTTGCTGCTAATGCACGGAGTTCTTTGTACCAAGTGAAAAACAAAGCAAAGCATATTTTAATGACATAAAGATTCTGTGAATTGTTCACATGACAAGCACCTTTTCTTGTAAATCAATGACAGTTCTTTCCATAACCCTTCTTAGTATTGGTTTAGTAAAAATAGACAGTCATTATTGCAATATGCCATTGGAATTTGTAGATACTGTGAGGTCATCTTGTCTATAGCAGACAAGAGAATCCCGTGCATTTTAAGTACACATTGGTATTTCTGTGGTCACTGAGGAGTCAGGAACAGCATTGAACCTGAGTTTCCTGTGCCACTGCCATCATCTCTGTAAATGCAGACATCTCCTCAGAGAACTTGCAGGAGTTGTGAATCACAGTCACTTTTATTTTCATGTTGGCTGTAGGTATACTTGTACAATTTTCATCAGAATTCACTTTTCATGTTAGATAGTTTGTTCAGATAGTCTAAGCTACTATGATAAAAGGTAAAAATGAGTTAGAAATCCCAGAAGTAGTCAATGCTGTGGCCTTGTCCTGGTCAGTGTATGTCTAGTGAATGTGCCATTGCTAAGGAGCATTCAGTGCTAGCAGAGGGTATTGCAGATATGGGTACAATGAGTGCAAAATCAGGATGCTCCTGGAAATGTATGAATTTAAGATGGACACAATGGAAATAGCCTAATGGTACTTAGATACTGCACTAGTATGAAATGTGACATTTTTCATTAATGCCCCAAAAAAGTTTAAAGACCACAACATCAGCTTCAGTAGGATTGAGACTGCCAAACCAATGCTAGATTCTTTTGCTAGTTGTGTCAGCTTTCTGTACTGTGATACCCAGCAGTCTGCCCAGTCAGTTTTTCTCTGCAGTGAAGGGAAGTTGATTATACTGCAAGTGGAAGTGTGGCTCTAATAGTTCAGACCCATTTCTTAAAGCACAGCTCAGGAACTGAAGCCCACCCTGCCATGGGCTGTGGAGGCAGATTGGTTTTCAAACACCCCATGGGATATTGGAAGCAGTTATGCTCAAAAGCCAGGACTGGTTGTGGGAGCTCTGGTGTGCAGCCAAAAGGCAGCTGTGCTCTGACCATGTAATCACAAGGCTACGACAGAGACTGAAATATTACTCAAGCCATTTGGGAGCTTACTTCAATTTCCCTTTTCTCCCCAGACTCGGGCTCTGCAGGCTTCCTGTTTGTTTCATTAGTACAGCTTTACTGTTCAAAGGCAACATAACTTGGGAAAGAGTAGGGATCATACTATTTTTAGCACATGGATAAATACACATAAAAAAGAAAACTCTGTCATGCAAACCTAGCATTTACAAGAGTTATATGGGTTAGAATGACCCGTGTAAAACTGCATATTACTTGTTGAAAGAATCTGGAACTAACAAACTGTCACCAATAGCATGGTGTGTCCTATAGGTCATGGTGAGATATTTCATCCTGAGATCAATGAGAAGTACATAAAATCTGCCAAATGTTTCCATTAAATATTCAAAAATTTTCAAGTAACGATTAACTAGATTTTTTAAAACATTTATTTTCTGCATGTAGTGCATCTAAAAATAAAGCCCGTTTTCATTCTTTCAAATTGAAATACATTCTGGGACCAGCACAAAAACTGGTATCAGGGTACATCCAGCCTTGTGGGTCTAAGGTAAGAGCTGATTAAGTTCTTTCTAAACAGGAGGCAGGGTTAATTTTGAAGTTGGGGATTGCTGAAGAAACTCAATTCCCCTTTCTTTTTTCCCCTTAAATGTTGCACATTTTAAGCATTAAAATAAAATCTTTATCATTCTAGTAAAAATCTGTGATTACAGCTGTTATTAATCTTTATTACAAATAAATTATTTTTCAGTTGCAAGGGTCATAGGTTAAGACATTTTTGGGGCTTTTTGGTACTACAATCAGCACAACAAACACTCTGTTGGTTTGACATCCATCTGTAAATAAAGGCTATGCCCAGTGCTAGTGGGATCAGCTTTAGTCAAAGGTTTCCTGTAAACAAAATACCCAAACAAGCTCAAACTACCCAGGGAAGAAAGTGTAAGCTAATGTGGAAGTCATAACAAGTATTCTTGGCAAATTGTGAGGTGTGCAGTAACAACTGCAGCTTAGTCAGAACTGCTAAGAGGGACCCTGAAAGAAGCCTGCTGTCCAGGTGCTAGATTTGGATTTAAGAAATAGGCTGTACAGTATCAAACTATATAAAAAGCTTAAAAACCACAATGAGAATATATTTAAAAAATTTTCTTCTATATTGTAAAAATTTTTAAATTAGGTCCAAACCACCATTTAAAAACATATGAAATGTGCAATTTTGCAAATGGAAACAAGGGGCACAAGAAGGATTCCATAGGGGTTAACTAGGGTTGCTTTGTGATTTCTTTGTTTCCATTTCCTTCATACACCCAGTAATCACACAGACCTCAGAGCAGTTCTCTTCAGGCAAGTAGGACATGAGCTAAAAGTATCATTGCTGATTTCAGTAGGGAAGATTGGCTGCAACAAGGAGTAAAAAGCTATTTTAAGAGACAAATGTACAGTACAATCTATTTATGTAAATACTTGGAAAACTCAGGAACAAAATTGTTTCCTAAGTACAGAGCTGTGAAATCAGTGTGCCATATGGAGCTATAATATATGGAAGAATATTTTAAAATCCTAAACCTTCTT